AAATTTTGAATGCAAATTGGTCTCTGCAAGACACCGCTCGGCAAACAACACGTTTCCTCTTTCGTTGCTGCCGCGCGCTTAATTACCAAACTAAATGTTTGTGACACTTGTGCTGACGACATTTATTGAGAGATCCGCGTGACGCGTCACCAACAGCCTGCGCGAGCTGGTGCGTGTGTGGTGTTGGTATTGGGCAAAACACACGAGAACTCGCACGCGGCCAAAGTGCCTCTCGGAGCGCGACCCCGATTATTAATTATTCCCGAGCACTTTGTGTGACGAGCGAGCGTGTCAAAACCGTCTGTCCGCGGTGATGTACGCAATGTGCACATCACTATTCTGTATACAGTTGCCATATTTTTTTCTCCGGATTTCTTCCTTTTGATAATTTGCATACCTGGGTCAGAGGTTCAGAAATTTGCCAATTATTATTTATCCTTCTTGTTGTTCTGGAAGACGAGATGAAAAAGAATTTTTTTAGAATATTTCTAAATAATGTTTTTTATTGAATAAAAATCAATTTAACAAGCAAATTGAAAAATAGACATCGGTTTAAATATAAGATAAGAGCAAACGAATTCTACTTTCTCACATTTTTATAAAAAATTTATTTTAATTTTATACTGCCTTTCTGGCAAAATATTTATTACAAATGTTTTGTTATTCTTGTTTTTTCCCATATTATAAGATTAAATAATATATAATTATTTTATAAACCATGGTGACGAGGAACGTTTAGGCCTACGGAGAAGTTTTTCAATATAATTTGTATAATTATTTTAAATCTACAAAATGTTCCTAAAAATGTGTTAATATTGTCAGCTTATTTCATTATAAGAGTGGCAACTCTCAATTCACGCGAATATCGTGCAAAAACTATAATTTTTTTCCATCTAAACCAGGAAAGCCATATAAAATATTTGTAAGAAAAAAATAGTTTAAAAACCGCAATTTTACCCATTCATAGAAAAGTAAAGCTTCCCGCATACTGTCTTAAAAAATCCATATTCAAATGCGGTTCCAATGAATAAAACTAAACAAGCAGCGGGGGGTTTTGTGTGTTTGACGTGTTAACCGCTCCTCTTATGTGTTCGGCATCATTATGCAGGCGTAATGTGGTGGCATATAATCCTCGGGGGTGCCGTGAAATCGCAACAAGCCGTGTGTGTGTGAGTTGCTATTTGCTCAGTCTCATCTCAACAGGTGAGGCAACAATAAATTTATATATTTAAGTTTCGCGTGTTTGCACTCGGCGGGTCGTTCGTTACTTATAATATGCATACACTTTGTTGGGTGCGCGCACGTGGCGTGTCACACGCGTTCTGCTGGCAAGGCTTATCAGCCGAGCATTAAACCCGGAATGCAAATATATCACCGAGAGAGCGCACACACTCCGCCGAGCACATTCACTCCTCGAGACGTACGTGTATGAGATGAATCGAAATGGTGTGTGTTCGCCATTCAATTTCCAGAACACACACTCACGCGGTTACACCAATAATATATCAATCTTGCAAATTCGAGATGAGAGCTGACGATTGCGCCCGAGAGATATGATGCTCGGCGAACTGCGCAAAACGGATTGTTCGCGAAAACATTAATCAGCCTAATGTTCTCAACTTCTGCCGTCTCACGTTTAATAAGCTTTCACCAATTTGGATGATAGATTGATTCTTGTCCGTGATTTATAATTTCCGCCAAGCTCCAGCTTTTTTTATGAGCCTCTTATTATCAAAACTTTCAAAAATGAATGAAAGGAAGAAAAAACAATTAAACTGTTTTTCTTTTCCAGGCACTTTAATAATTTTTATAATATTAAATATTTCATTCTCTCAACTTTAAGTTACATTCTTTTATTTCAACTAAATCGTGCGGATTATTATTTTTTTCTTGTTATCAATTATTATTTTCATCACTACGTTATCTCATGAAATAGTGCAAAGGAGCATTTGCGAAACTGGTTAAACTGATATTTTTTAACAATTTCAAAATTTTTGCAAAATCTTTCCATTTTATATGGTAATATTATCTTATTAAAAAAGTAGCAATTAGTTCACCATTTTTTTCAATAATCAAATCTTTTGATCTGAATATATGATTTTCTTACTTTTGCAAAACGTGGTAATGTAATGAAAGGAAGCGAGGAGGCCTCCCATATAACTTGAATTGAATGAGCTCACGAGATCGCGGTGAAGTTGAGTGATAAATCATCCAGTTGGCGATTCGAGATATTGAAATGGAATGAGCGGATTAAACGGCGCGAGAATCAATATGAGTAAAATGGTTTCGCACAAAAGTGCGTGCCGTCTTCTTGATAGTGCGGCGGCCGTTCGGAAGACGAACTGCTCGGCGCTCCTCGGCACAAGCACTTCATTTAATTTAAAAAAGGCGGAAGGCGCGATCGCAGGGGCGAGACCGTGAAAAATGGCCTCGACAGAAAATAACGAGTCGAAAACGTGATAACGTAGATAAAGGAACCTATAAGTCGGAGGGGGTGAGAGAAAGGCCCATTTTTACTTATATTAATGTCATTTATTTCCCAGCTGCGGTATAGGAAATGGAAAATGGCTAAAATTAATTTTTTAAATGGAACGAAGATCAATTCAGAAGTCACGATTTACTTAAAACTTTTGGGGCGGATCTTCGTCATAGAAGGAGTTAGAAAGAAGGAAAGAAAGTTGGTCTCGCACAGGAAAAAGTTTTTGCCGAGTGTTTTTCCTTTCGGAATCGAATAATCTCACCGAGCATCTCCCTCGCGCCCCAGCAACAGTTTTCCCAAGGCGAAACTTAATCTTGCTTTGGCCCGGGCTAGAGAAGAAGTAGACAAGAGATTGCACAAAACACACTCAGCGGCAGACAGACTTATTTCCACACGAGTATATATAAGCAAGTTGAACTCAATTTCGCATTCTGACAGGCCGAGAGAATTTCGACGAGAGCGACGCGTTAATTAAAAAGTGCTTACCTTGCTTGCTTGCTCAAAAATGCTTTTCCGATGCTTGACAAGCAGGCAAGATTGCTTTCACATCAGCCGGTTTATTTGAACTTTAAGAGAGACGTGCCGGTGTAATTAAATGAAGGGGCGTAACGTAAATTAAATTCCGTCTATCAATGCGACGGAGCAGCAGCAGGTGAGCGAGACAGAGTGCCTCGCAAAGCCTCTTATTTTCTTCCAAACAGACTCTCAACGCGAGTGCAAATATTGTATGTACTTTGCCAGAGAGACACAATCAACTTGTTAATCAACGAAATTATTCAGAATTCGGACCCTTGTTACTTTCGAGTTCAATTCAATTACATGCCTTGCTCCACTTTCGTTGCGACGTCTTCTACACATAATATTCATTATAATTTTATTAAATTTAATTTAATTATTTAAATTAAATCACTAAAGAAATAGAAAACATTATCTGCTTGAGCAATTATTTATTTTTGTGTTTATGTAATTTATTCTCATGAAGGTGAAGTTAAGAATAAAAATATTTTTAACTTGCTATCTGAACTTTTTTTACGTCAACCCCTAGCAAATATTTAACAAACACCCCTTTGTGATTCCCACCGGAAAATTTATGTCCTGCCATTCTTTGATGTAATATGTTGGCAAAAAAGCAATTTTCTTGATTCGTCCCCAAACTGCAGGACAAACTTTTACGAAAACAACAAATAACAAATTTGACCAGATTTATCAAACGCAAACAGGCCGTATACAAAAAAGTTTGCAGTTTTCCTTCTGGACGGGAGTTGAATGAAGTGCGCCGGGGGCATTATTTCGCAGCTCACTCGCGATTTATCAGACGTGCTTTCATAATGCACCCGGTGTGTATTAAAGCATGATGGATTTGGCGATGCTTTCTCGTTCGGCGCCGCCCCCTCTTGGAAGAAAAGTGCAGGCAGTTTTGATAAATTGATTCTTTTCTGATATGCCGGCTTGCAGTTTAAAGGTTTTCAATCAGGGACGACAGCCTTGGAACGGAAAGATAGCCCAACGTATTGGCTCCGCTGCCCTTATCAAGACACGTGGCCGCCTCCTTAAAAAACGGGCAATCCATCAGAGGGATGCGATCGTTTTCACCTTAGCAGAATAAAATTAATGAGATTTTTTTAAATAACTAGCCTGATCGGTAAAATTATCCAACCTCCCAAAATTATTTGCAACAGTCCCAGGTATGAAATATTAATTTAAAACAATAATTCTAAAGAATTTGTCTTTCCTTTCTTTTATAATTTCCAAAGAAAAGTTCAAAAATTATAATAGAAACGTCTAGAAAATGGAAACATAATATACTCAATAACAACCCACGGGATTTCTCCTTTTTAATTGTAAAAGAGAAAAATAAGTCAATAATGATCTTAAAATTAGAATAATTAAAGTTTTAAACCATTTATGAATTAAATGAAAGCACCATTTTGTGATATGCCCCTTGATATGTTTGCATTATTTTTAAATAGCAATAACTTTTTTAATCTGAAAATTCGTCTTCTACAAAAGATTTAAAAACATTTTTATATTTACAATATTATTCAGAAAAAAAATCCGTTGAAAATTATTTAAAAATCAATAAAAACATTTTAAACGTAGTTTACTTATTGTTAGACATATGAAAATACCAATAGGAATTGATAAAATTTTCTTCAATATAATATTGAACAAATTTCATCATTTATTTATTTTTTCATCTATTTTGACCTCTGTAAAATACAAAAACGAGTGAGAAAATTGAAAAAGGCAAAAAATAAGCGTATCTGGAAGCCACAAAAAGCACTCTGTGTTTTTCGATTAAATTCGCTTTAGCCAAGTCGGAGGGGCCAAGTTGTTCTTAGCCGGTGAAGCCTAAGTGAAAGGTACATTGCCTCGTGTGAGGGGATTGGGCGATCGCTGGGCAGGGTGGAAGAGGGAGAGAGAGCGTGTGTGCGAAAACGCAAGCGCCGGGGCTGCCTTTTTGCAGGGCGCCGGCCCAGAAACGAGCTTAAGTTTTGCTGCCGGGCAGGATTCATGCTTGTCGGCCGGCAGACTTCGCCCAACCCAGTTGCCTCAACATCCACAGCGCTCGTCTCCTCGCACCCTCCTGGTCGACCACCAGGCTCTCTTAATTTTTCTCGGCCGACGAAAAAGACGAGCCAGCACCACGGCCCAGTCAACATTGAATCGCACTCTGTGCTGCTGGCGCCAGACCCCCAAGGACACAGGTGTGTACAACATCGATTTTGCTCTGTATATGAACCCGGTGTTTTCATTCATTCATTTCGGGGCGCGCCAACGGCGTAGTTAAAGATTTGACCATGCACGGTTGCCAAAACAGGAATTATTAAAGAGGGTTAAAAAAGTGAAAATCAAAATTTTTTACTGCAGTAATTGAGAGCTGTCCTAAAATTTATTTTTTAATTTGCAAAAGTGAACACAAAATTTCAGAAAAATGAATATTTGCAAGACATAAAAATTACATGAAAACTTTGGAATTAATCAGAATTAATAACCTATTAAGTGTAAATTCCATTATTTGGACTAAATTTCATTTTGAAATTCAATTTTCATTTTTATAAGATCCTATTTTGATAGCAATGCTTCTGATATAAAATTCTCAACTTCATTTTTGATCACATTGACTTTTGACAGATTCTATTGGATGGGACGCGCTCATAAATGGGTATATGTGTAGGCTTCACAGTGAAGAATATTTTTCTTTAAAATGCGCAATATATTAAACAAGACGAATGATCAAAATATTTATACATATATTATTTCATTCATTATATTTATTTTCAACGGAGAAATTATTTACTCTTCAAAATTTGTAGTGAAGAAGAAGCTGAATATAATAACCATAATTACAGTTTTCAACTGATTTTTTTTTTAATATTGCGAGTTTATTAGCCGAGGAAAATCATCAATGTTGAATTAAAGGAACTTATTGATTTATAAGTTTATTACAAGAAACTGATATTAAAAATATTAAACAGCCATAGATGAATTTTAGCCATTGGCAAGCCGAGGAATATTATCAAAGTTCCGTTTAAAATAACAGGAACTATTAATAAACTTCCACGATTTGCAAGACTTTATTTAATTTTTTTGATAGCCATAGATGAATTTTAGCCATTGCTAAGCCGAGGAATATTACCAAAGTTCAGTTTAAAATAACAGGAACTATTAATAAAATTCCAAGACTCGAAAGACTTATTTTTTTTTAAAAAAAATCACCAAAAATGCTTTAACATGGATGAACTTTGCCTGTTGCCAAGCCGAGGAATTTGATCAAAGTTCCGCTTGAAGAAACAGGAACTGTCAACCAACTTCCTCGACTTGCAAAAGCATCCAGCGAGCTACGTCAGCAATGCAAGGCAGAGCTAGCGACCAAAGACCAAGATATAGAAAAGGTCATTCAGAAACTAGCTCTGTGATGCAATCCCGACTGCTCGTGATGGGCCTTCCAAACTGGCTGGCCGCTACGAGGAGAATGATCCTCTGTGCTGGATGCCCCCCTTTTTATACCGAGCTGAGAGCGGAGGGGGCTTGTGATTGGTCGGAGCTGCGACGCGCTCGGCAGCGAACGCAGCGCCACCACCGAGCGAGCGATTTCTCTCCCTAATTAAAAATATTAATCCTTTGAGGCATTATTATTATAATTTATATACTGATTCTTAAAAATTCTTGTGCGTGCGAAATTTTATATATTAAATTTTAAAAACAAATTTTGGAGTAAAATAATAGTTATAAAAGAAAAATAAAGCGATCGTCAATAAAAATGCCAATGGAAGCGCCAATGATAGTTTCGAAAATGATATTTTAAAATTTTATTTGGTCTCATTATTTATAATTATAGTTCATTCTTAAGGGCGCAAAAATAACAATAAGGAAAATAAAATATTTCCATACATAATTTTTGATATTTTCTTAAAAAATAAGAAATATCTTTTTAAATAAGTCATTTTAAATTGTTTTATATTTTGTCTGTATCAATGTCGGAAAGCTTTCCGATGAAGTGTCAGTGTGTTTGAAATGCAGCATTTCTTGCTGACGTAAACGCCCCACTCACTGCTTTTTATGCGTGTGCAAAAACATTTGGCAGTGTCAACATTTGGCGTGTGTAACTGCGAACACACAGCCGTACCATATAAATCAGAGGCGAAGGAGCAGAAGCAATTTCTAGCATTTCGCGTGTACGCAAGCAGGGTTTTGTATGTGTGCGGGTGAGTGCCGAGCAAATTATAAAGTCAAATATTCCGCCGGCATCTAAGGTTGTCGCAAAGTGTGTGCAGCCGCCGGAGCTGCGAGCCGAACAACGCTGCTTGCCGGATTTGCATAATTACGTGTGGGAATACATTGGGGATTCAATAATACACTCCATAACTTGGAGTAACGATTATGCGATTATAATGCAAATTATCGCCCGGCAATTTGATAGCAGGGCAAAACAAATGGAGCGAGCCGAGAGCGCCACTCACTCGTTTCTTGCGAATTCCGCAACTTAATTGCTTCTTCTCGACTCGCAGAACTGCAGCTGTCGTTTACAAATGAGATTTGGAAGTTGCAAACTTACTTTTTGTGTGGAACTTTTGACGAATCGGAAAGAAAGAGCCCAGCCCGAGTATTGACTCTCCAGAGCGATCGTTAAATGTCGGGCCAGAATCTTGAATCTCAATCTCAAATTTGAAATTTGTTTGCATTATTTCAGCAAAATTCTGGATTGTGCGGAGTAGCTATTCTGTCCAACAATTCACTTTCTTTGAAACACAATTTATTTCAATAATTGAATTTAAACAATGGGATTACAACAATTTGATAAGAATACAACAAGCTCTAAATATAAATATTCTTGACATTGTTGCGAAGCTTTTAGGACTATTTTTTTTATGAATTGAATTTATTTATATTTTTTATTTCTGTATTACTATTCAGTTAAAAGTGACCATATCCACCATCACCAGCCAATTATTCTTTCATTTTTGGCAAACAAAAATAACGAGTCATTCCTAAATTTTTCGCAAATTGTAATTTAATGTGTTTAAATATTCAATTGAAATTAACTTTTTTTTTCTAAACAACAAGAAGTAATATATTTTTCTTTTCAGTTCTATCTCACATCAGATAAATAAAATACTTATTTCTGTTACTTACTGACTTTTTATGTTATTTTAAACGTGACCTCTTAAAGTGGTTGCAAGCGTGCGTGGTTTTAAGTCCCAGAAGAAATTTGCTCTTCGTTTCTCGCGTATAAACACACTTGGCTCTCGTCTCCAACCTTCTTTCATATAAAGACCGTAATTATAAAACCTCATTTGCATCCCGCCGTTGCGTGTTAATTGGACATTCTCAAAAAATATTATTTTCATTGCGTCTCCGCTCGCAAGAGTTTTCGGCTCGGAGAAAATTAAGTGACAACTTTTTGCAGCCAACTTTCTTTCGCCCGGGAGGAAAAGCCCCTAAGTAAGTTAGAACAAAGGCATTCCGAGACACAAAACGCAGCTTTTCATTTTTTGGAGAAAAACAGTTGTCGGGACGTGAAAATATTTACACGAGACTTATTGCGAAACTTTATTCATTATTAACAAACACACACTTGAAAAAGGAGCGAGCTTCATTAATTACGTAAAGAGTTAAGAGTCATTTGAATTTAATACAATTCCGTCCGTGGACAAAGCTAGTCCCATTGTGTGCACGTGGCAGATCTAAAAGATAAATTGCCAGGCCGCGTGTTTGGGCAAAAAATGAAAATTCTGCTTCCATCCTGCCGAGGGAATAATAAATTCTACCCGCTCGTGGAAAAGCGTGCGCTAATATTGCCCTCCATTAAAGTCACATTTGCTCTTTATTCGCGGCAAAGATCAAGCGGGCGGACCCTAGTTTTTTTCCCCGGCCATCAAAGGGGTCCAAAACTCGTCTCTTCGCCGCGTTATTACGATTATTGCTGGCTGGAACCATCTAAAGTGGAAAAATTTGGCAATTTTTCGGTTGTGCGTGTTCGAGAGGGGGTGCGTGTAATGAAATTATCTTTCAGCTTCGCTTAGCCCGAAAATGCATCTTACCCCTTCCAGATGGACGCGTTTGATGGATTGCAATATCGGAAGAGAGTCCAATGAATATGTGATGACTATCGGCGAAAACGTCTCTGCGCATCAAAAAGAAAAGAGACTGATGGCACGGAATATTATTTACGCTCTGAATGGCTCGCGCCGGATTATTGGAAAATGCGACACGTCTGCCATCCCCGACACTCCCGCGCATTTTAATGAAGGCAAATTTCTCGCTCTCTTTTTTTGTCGCTCACCAATGTCGCTGTCGGAAAGACCGGCAAAAGTGATTTGTGGCACTAATGCCGCGCACATCATGCACACACACAAAGCTAATCCCTCTGGCTTACGTTTGAGTTGTACAAAAAGGGCTAATGGAAAATTTTATTTGCTGCATGACATTTCATTAATTTGCGAAAGTCGCGCATGAGTTAATTTCAAAATTTAATCCCTACTCCCGGGACTGACAATTACGCGAGGCAAAATGCTTAAAAGCATTAAACTTTGCAAACTTAATTTCAAACAAAACTTGTCTTTAAATATATTTACTGAATTTTGCTTTTGCTTCCAAAATTGTAGCTGAATTCTTAACAATTGTCTAAACTAACACTAGAAATTTAGTTTAACGTTATTTAAAAGTTTTAATAATTATCATTTAATTTTTAAAGCATTTTTTATTAAGCTATGTATTTGATTATAATTTACAAGGTAATATTTTTGGTATTTATGTATTTGTTAGTAGTTAAAAATTTTCATTGCACTAGACTGAAAATTGAAAATTTATTTGACCAATAGTATAAATAATAGCATGCCAATAAAGTACTACATTAATTCCTGTAAGGAACTTCAAACCCTGACAAGATCGTTTTTAAAATTATGCTGTCCATGAAAGCTATAAATTTCGAAAACTAATTATCATCAATAAAATTTATTATATATGAATACAACCTGTTTCATAAAATTCCCAATAAAAATTTCTAATTGTAATTAATCATCGATCTCAATAGCCGCAATTAAAAAAATTTAAAAGTATTGAAAATAAACTTGTGCATAATAATAATTTAAAATTTTGACTTGAATAGATGTTTAAATAAAACCATGTAACCTTTACAGACTGATTTTAACTTTTCAATTTTAAAGGGCAAAAATGTCTTATTTTTCTTCTGAATCGATTCATG